GCTGCAGTGAAATGCTTCTTACCACCAAACAAAGGATGTAGATGTTGCCGTCCATGTGTTACAGTGGAGTCACAATATAAAGGGATCATTTCAAGGTTAGTGTGACAGAAGGAGTGATTACGATGATTAGTGACGACACATTGAAAGAGTAATCACTCAGTGTCTATATGAGGATGTGTGCAGTAACACAGACCTGATAAAAAGATGTGAATCAGTCCTTTAACAGACACGGACTTGTGCAGGACTGGCCAATACATCAGGATATAAATCAAGCACACAGGAGGCTTTAAAATGGATAGCAGAGCTCGGAGAGAAGGGGGTGGATGACAAGAGGATAATATAGGACCCACCCACCACTAGCCTCAGGTCTGTGTGAAACTGTGTGGGCCACGAGAGTCAAACTCAGACCTGACTCACTCTCCTCCTGAAAGAAACAACAAAGGTACTTATCGTATATTTGAGAAAATAACCTCCAGTGAGTCCCAAAAGGAGAAAAGGATTCTTTTTCCCCACAAATAAACTTTCCAATAAGCCTTTGATCCACACACTCTCTCCTCCCAGAGGGGCCGCTGCATATCCGGTTCAATACAGGCTGAACTTTAAAGAGAAGCTACTTCAACTCCCCCTCCTCCTCCCCCCTGATGTCAATCACGCCACCGCTGTTACCTGGTGATTTATTTCATGGCCACAAAAAGGAAAAAAATCAAACACACATTTTTAAAAGGTCAGACAGTCTATATCCATCTTCTGCGGGCGATCGATCCGACATCAGAATCTCTCAGAAAACACTAAATGAAGGCTCTCATTCCACAACATGCTCACAGATCTATAAAGTACAAATGACTACAACTGCACCGCGTCTGGTGACCTAACTGGCAGCTTTTTGTAGTTGGTTCCTTTTTTTGGTATTTGACAGATGACAGAGTAAACTGGAAACAGAGAGGCATATGACATGTAACACAAGTCCCAATGCTAGAATCACACCCCATGGCGTGCACTGAAACCACTCGACATCAAGGTGCTCCACACCTGACAGGTTTAACACGCCGTCACACGTCAGACTAAATCCTTCAGAGATTAATTATATCTCTTTTATTGTAAACAAATCCCACGAAGAGACTTAAACCAACAAGTCTGTGGATCCAGAGCCTGATGAAACCAAACGATCCATGCAATCTGAGTTTTGTAGTTGGGATTAAATATGGGAGACAAATAAAACAAACAAACAAAAATGGTGCTTCAAAAATAAAGCTATATCCGGTTTTTGTACGACACACTGCAGAGATAACTCTGACATGAAAAGCTTGACATTTTAGGAAACATGCCTGTGGCACCGTGTCCGCCAAAGGGTCTTTTCCCAGCTGAGGACAACAGACGCTCCTCAGGAAACACCCAGCTGGAAGCGCTTAAGAGTGCTTTGGAGGCGCAGCGGTTCTCCAGCTGAGACGCTCTGCTTGCGTCTGGTTGCTATGAAACAGAATATCCCAGAAGTAATAATGTCAGTGCAAGGTAGAGTGCTTGTTCTGGATGAAGGGAAGACTGAAGCACGCAAGGAGAGAGGACAGACCTGCCAGTCTGAGTGGGGTCATGAGAGGGAACATACAAACATATAGCCCAGTGGTTCTCAACTGGTCCAGACATGAGGTCCAGGTTTCTTCTTCGTCATTAGTTCAAGGTCCACACAGTGAAATATATCAGAAGCCCTTTTTAAACAGGAGTTGTGCAAATCTGCAGGAAAGCCCAATCAGTGTTTTTTCAGCATTGGCAGTATAAAAACAAAATCAGGGAGTGCAGCAAAATGCCGCCTACCTACTTTTGTTTATACAGAATGTGCCTTTTTCGGGGCAATGGGGGGCGTGAGCAAGTAACAAAACGTGTAGCTCAGCGTGTGACGTAAACAGTGACGTGGGAGGGAAGCCGCGGCTGGTCAGTCCTTCGGCGATTCTCTCGTAAGTCGGCCCGTTCTTCACCGTCCCCGTCATCTGACGGTTAATGGCCTCTTCGTTTGCGAGGACAAGGAGGACGCACAATTCCTTGTCTCCCCAGTTGCTCATCTTTACAGTGTCTGTCAGGTTTGTGTTTCCCTCTTGCTACTAGCTGCTCGCTAATTCCTGCTATCAGCTGTTTCCTGTTTATCCACCGCCAGTGGCTCGCATGTGCGGCGTCATCAACAGCTCCTCCCACAAGTCATCAACAGCTCTTCCCGTTGCAGAAGGCCGCCTCAGTCTGTTTAAACCAAAAGGGTTCCACCAATATGTCTACCCTACGAGGCGGAAAATTGGGCACCTCGGATCAACTCGCCAATCCGGCTCTATACGGCCCAAGACTCGCGTAAAATCTGGCAGTGTAAAAGGATCTAGTGTCATAATTGCATTTGAATGTGTCGTCAAGCTGGTTTGCTGTCTCTGTGGAGTGGCTGTTCATTAGTCGCTCACTCTACAGCAGGAAACAGCACTTGACAACAAGAGCTCTGTGCTGGATTTCCACTGTGCTTCAAAATAAAGTGTGTTTTCTACAAATCTGACACGTTTGTGAGTCACTTGCGGTTCATTCAGAGAGGACCTGAGACCCATCAGTTGGGATCCTCAGGTATAGTCTACAGTATATGAACATATTTCCCCTCCACTGTTGTCATTGTTGTTCAGCATGTAAGATGTGACGGTTGGTCTTTGTGGTATTTGTCCCTCGTCCACTGTAACTGGACGGCTGTGTAAAGTTTAAGTTAAGTTTATTTACTTTATTAATCCCCCTGAGGGGAAATTCAATGTTTTCACTCTTGCTTGTCAATTACACACAGGTCCCAAAGACACACACATGCACAAACAGGAGTGCAGAGACGAGTGCAGTGTTTGAGCCAAAGTTTAGCGCCTCATCGTGCAGCTGACACTTGAAGCAATGTAAATTTGCAGCGTTCCCCTTGTAGAGAATTTAAAAAAAGACCCTAACCTCAGGAAAAAAAATGCTTTGGTGAACACGGCCTGTGAACGTCCTTGATATCGCTCTCATGTTTGTGTGTTAAGCAGCTCGACCTATGAGGGGGAGCTAATCTTAGCATTAAGAATTGTAGCAGGAGTAAACAGTGAGCTAACGTGTCCATTTTATATCGCTGTTTTTGTGCAGATGAAATAAACAAGATGCAATGTGTTGACAGGCAACTTCAGAGGCGTTGGCAGGTGTATTTTTTCAGTTACAACAGAATTCCTCCTGCTTTTAGTCTTTATGCTAAGCTAAGCTAATTGCCTCCTAGCTTGAGACACAGACAGCAGTGGTATCAATCCTCTTATCTAAATCTTGGCAAGAGAGCAACTACGAGTGGCTCCCAACATCCTTTGAATCTACATGTTTTCTTCACCTTCTGTGAAAAGTTAAACATCCTTAGCAACCACTAACAAATGACCTTAGCGAGACGACTCGCTAAACAAACTGACTCACTTGACATGAACGTGACATCAGCCTGATTACATTAGGTGACACCAAATTAAATCTGATTATACCGTAACATTCACCATCCTGCTGCTGTAACTGCTAACCAGAGCACCAACTGTGTGTTATTCCGCCACTGAAAATAATCCCCAACAAATGCACTTCCTGCTGTTTGATAAAAACTACAGCTCCCAGCTGTTTTAGAAAATCACTGAGCCTTTAAAAGATATGAAACTATATATTGGAAAAGTGTTTATAAAGCTCACAGTCAGGGTAGAGAGGTCAGACAGTATTTAGGGACGGCCTTCAGTCTTTTTTGTTGACAATATAAATTAATATAGGACATGGGCCTAATCCTCTTATTTACTTCCAGCAGCTCAACCAGGGAAGTGAAGTATTTCAACTGTTGTTTTTATCATCAGTAATGTTGAATTAAACAAGTATTTTCTAAAATAGTCTGTAATTTTCTATCTTTCCAGTGCAGCAACCTGCCTGATAGTTATTATGGAAATGATACCATTTAATTAGTTTAATGATTGTGTTAAAAGGCACAGACAGGGCAGAGACTCGTACTCACATACTGCTGGCTGACAAATGATTCCAGCTTCATCCTTTAAATGCAGGACAGACTGAATTGTCTCTAAAATAATTATAATAAAAAGAGCAGCTCATCAAATCAGCACAGGGTAACAATGTTTATGGAAACTCCACTGTTTAATATTCAGTTGCAGCAGATGGTGAGGTCAGGCAAAACAAAACATACCGTGTCATGTCTCCGTCATGTAATTTTACATTTCACATACAGTACTTCAGATGTCTACTCGTTGCAGGCTGATTTAGGTCAGCGTGTTCTGTCTGAAAGCTTTGTCCTGTGCTGGATGGATCCTAATTAAAACGGGCGCTCATCACCACCACATGTGCACTTCACAATACTCCATCCAGGTGGAGGCTAAGAGCATGCAAAAAAAAAACAACAACAACAGAACAGCAACATGTGAAAGGATGAAAATCTGGAGCACAGCAGGACCTTAACAGCAGCGTGCTCTGCTTTCAACCGGCTCTGTTTTCTTGCTCTTCATCGCCAGAGGACAAGGGTGTTTAGAAAAATCACAGTTGTTGTGGCTGCCATTTCTTTTGAGGAATTTACAAAATGAAACCCTTCTTTGGTTTTGTGCGTTCAGAGGAGAAATAGCTGCAGGTTGATTTGCAGATTTCAGGCTCCCACCTACGTATGAAACCAGCCAAGCCCCTGAAACATTAGGCAACATGACATTTAAGCTGCAGTTGCTTTTTGATGCTACTCATTTATTGTGCTTTTGGGGCCTCTAAGTGATGCTGCTGGGCATTCACTGTATTTATCTTTTGGCCTCTAATGCCCGTTTATGGCTGCAGGCCCTGAGCACCCGAACCCTCAGTCCATATTTACTATAAATGAACCTGCCGCAGTCATCGTCCACTGCCGACCTCGCCGCCTGTGTGGCTGCGTGTTGATTATGTTTCATGCTTTCAGGGTCTTTGTGAAAAGCCTCATTAATCAGTATACATGCACACAAACGCCACACGCTGTGACATCTTACCTCCTCGTGAAGTATGGCCTTACACATGGAGTAGTTCCCCTTCAGCGCCCACGTCCCATTTGCAAGACATTTCCTATAAACATTATCTGCAGAGAGGAGGAGAAGAAAGAGGACAGAGGGACGCTGTTAAAAAAGATGCTTCTCATATTTCCTTTTGTTCAGAGAGTGATTCTTGTTTTGGCCACGTATGCCTGGAAATGCACAAAATGTGAATTCCTGCTCGATGCATAGTGGCAGTGTGACCTTTCTGCTTTTGAGGCTAATAGGGAGAGATATCGTTAGAGGTAGTCTTACAAGCTGTGACTTTTCACACGTTTGCTGTCAGGACAGTCTGCCACCCTCTGCCTAGGCATTGTTATCGTTCCTTACATTTAGACCGTCGCTTTTTATCACCAATGACCTGCGATCGACCCGCATTTTCTAACATTTTACGCAAAACAGTTTGTCCCTGTGTTGTGCTGTGCACACAAGGTGTGGGCAGAGAAAGGCAGGGACAATTCTTCACATAAACAGTTATTGATGATTCTCCTGCGAGCTGTGACATAATTTTCTGTTTAGAAAAAAAACACCATTTCTGCACATGGCTGGATAATGCAACCCAAATAGTCGGGGGTCGGCATGAAGGCTCTGACAAGTGATGAGTAAAAATATATTTCTCCATGCAGGCTCGCCCTGTCATCGCACACATTTCTCGCCACATTCACGGGACAGACATGAAATAATCTGTAACAAATTTCACATTTGTCATTTCACATTTATTATTTCTTAAGATGAAGGAAATGAAATCATCAAACAGGATACCGCCGAGTTGAAATACTGCAAATGAGGCAATTTAAAGTTAAAAGGAGCAAAATATTTCAAAGATGATATTTATTTTTACATCATCGGCTGTCTGCAGGTGAGGCTGCTGGATCTGACAGCCTGAGAGCTGAGGTTCACTTCATTTAAATTACAAAGCATGGATGAAACTAAGTTAGTTCTGGTGCCTGCCACTTAATAATGTTAACAGGCTGACATATACATAAAAATAGAAAAAAAAAATCACACCAGTTTTCAGAGGAGAAAAAGCTCTCTGTCACCGGGTTTAGACGATCAGCATTGAGAGCACGTACCAGTGTGTCAGACAGTTAATCACTCGTCCCAAAACAAAACATTTTTCACTCACTTATATGGACAGATCTGACCCTGATCTCCAGGCGGGTCGACTCGGGTCGTTAGAAACCTTTCTCAGTGACAGATTTCAGAGCAAAGAAAGTGGAGAAAGTGAAGTTTGTAGAGCTATCGCTGACACAGTTAAAGCTTCAGTGGGTTTTTCTCTGCATGAGGAAAGCTGTCAACACCCAGAAATAATGAAACACAGCATCAATAAAATGAAGTGCTTGCTAGAGTCTGTCTTCTCTGAGGTTAGCCAACATTTAGCCAAACTGCAAGAATCTACACTGTCGGCACTGAAGGTAACCTGGCTCCAGGCCTCTGAAGTGCTGTCTGCATCTCAGCGCTCATTAACTCTTTGCTTCCCACAGATGGAAGAACAATGGACCCAAGTTAAAACAGCTCAAATCAATATTATTTGGGATAACAATGGCTCACATGACTGCTTTTTTGTGAGAGGGGTCGTTCATTGTGACAAATCGACCGAGCATTGTTGCCCAACTGCAGCTTCCCTCATCTCTACAAAACGCTTTATCAGCCCTCTTCACACTGCACTTAGCCCCAGGCTAGAGAAGCTGTTAGCCTGGAGCTAAGGGAGCTGTTAGCCTGGAGCTAAGGGAGCTGTTAGCCTGGAGCTAAGGGAGCTGTTAGCCTGGAGCTAAGGGAGCTCTTAGCCTGGAGCTAAGGGAGCTCTTAGCCTGGAGCTAAGGGAGCTGTTAGCCTGGAGCTAAGGGAGCTCTTAGCCTGGAGCTAAGGGAGCTGTTAGCCTGGAGCTAAAGGAGCTCTTAGCCTGGAGCTAAGGGAGCTCTTAGCCTGGAGCTAAGGGAGCTCTTAGCCTGGCTAGCCTTTCACATTAAAGCCCCTTTTACACTGCACCAAAAACCTGCTAACAACCGCTAACGTCTGGCTTTTTACTGTAATGGGAAAGGTTGCAATCTGGTTCTGATCAGCACTGATGGAAACACAACAAGCGGCACAACCTTCACTGATGAGATGCAACGATGCACTGCCACAAAATACCACCCATCTCTCGCCAAGCAGCGTGCAAACATTGATCCAAAGTAGCCCACACCGAAAAGCGACTGAATAAGTGAGAGATATAAAAAAGAAGAGACCTCAGGCCTCCATGCTGCTTTCTGCTGTTTACTAACCTGTTTTCCGGCCTTTCCATGATGTTGAACGTCACACACCAGAAAGAACGAAACACACAGAGAGGCATACTCATCTGCTGCAGAGCCGTGTACACAGCTCCGGTCTGGTGGCGATGGGAAAAGAGTTTACAGCCTATTTTTAGCGTGTTTACTAGTGTTTAAAAAGATTTAGTTTCACTGCTTCAGTGTCCTCCGATATTGGCTGCAGTGACACTACTGCTCTTACTGTGCTACTCTCACCAAAAAAACGCCTTTCCAATTTGTCAAATTGGTAATGTAAACAGCAGCCCCTTCAACTACCACTGCTTTGTCAGTGATTTTGGCATCAGAGCACCCACGCATCAACAACGCTAAAAGCCCAAAATGAGATGAAATGCTGTCAGTAACAACGCAATATAAAGAGCTGGAAAGTCCCAACAGGGCAGACAAGAGGGTGGTGGATGGGTCCATCCAACACACCCTGGACTTTCACCCGAGAGGCCGCTGTTCACTTCCTGTGTGAACGTAGAGCCAAACCATGATGTTTTTTTTCTAACCACCTGCTTTTGGTGCCTAAACCTAACGTCAACAACAAAGGCAGGAGGATAGCTAGCGTGTAAAGGCCCTGACACACCAAGCTGACGGTCGGCCGTCGACCAAAGTCGGGCCGTCGGTGAGCGTCTGTCGCCCTAGTTTTTGCGGTGTGTCCCGCACCGTCGGCACTTCGGCGTCGGCAGCTTTTCGGCCGATTGAGCATGTTAAATCAGCGGCGGAGCTTGTCGGTGAGAGAGATCACTCTGATTGGATGTTCAGGTTTCATTTCCTCGCCCCTGTAGCGAGTGAATCTGCCTGTAGTGAAACCGGGGCTAACCTGTGCTTCCTCCTCAGGCTCCACTTCACTCAGCTGCCCCACAGACCCGCTGCTTCTTCACACTTTAACCTGAATAACAAACCGGAGCTAGCTGGGAGCGGCTAGCGGAGCGTTAGCCGCAGCGTGACCGGAGGGAAGCACAGCCAGTTAGCCTCCGCTAGTCTCTGAGCTAGCCCCGGCTCTCCGTTTGGATCCAACCGGAGCACCGAGCCCTGGTTTGTTATTCAGGTGTTATCCAAAGTGGGAAGAAGCAGCGGGTTTATCGGGCAGCTGAGTGAAGTGGAGCCTGCGGAGGAAACACCGGGACCGTCTGGATGTAATAGTCCGTGGAGGTGCTGCGGTGCTCGGCTGCACAGATAGGAAACCCCTCGGCTGACAGGATGTACCACTCTCTCACTCCGCTCTCTCTCACGCAGGCGCAGAACGTACGTGCTACTTGGCCGTCGGATGTAGTCCGTGTAGTGTGTTCAAATGCAACTGACACAGGGCGACGTGAGGCGACGTAGACGACGCAACAGTTGGCTTTCGTCACCGCTAGTTCTTTGCTGTCGGTTTGGTGTGTCAGGGCCTTAATACGTAGACATGAACAGCACTGACATGCAGAGATACGTGACGAGTGGAGATGAGAATGCACTGAGATAGCAGTGTGTCAGGTTCTGCTTTTTAAAGGAAATGAGAGATGACACTGTGATCGGTTGAATTTATGTTACACCCAAAACACACCTAGGATTAATTAAGGGACTAAATACAACCCCTCTGCCTTCTGTGCTTTACTCTGCACAGAGGTTATGCACCATTTAATTAGCACAGGTGGTTGGATACGCCCTAAATGCCCCTACGACATGCACTTTGAGGATGCATGATGGATCGTTTAATTAGAGCCCCGAGAGCACGAGCAGGTAGAGTCTAAAATTCTGACTCACAACAATAACACAGTAAGTCTCTGGTCTTTCTCTGGTTTACTGATTAACATCCAAACACAACACTGACATTTCAGTTGTGTCCACCATGAAGAAAAGCTCTGTTTGAACTAGAAAGAGAAACCTGTTAAATGCATCCACATTATCGTGCTGATGGGCAGAGATGGAGGCCGATAACCTTAAATGCATGTTTAAATAATGAGAAATTTGGGGAAGGATAAGAGATGAAATGGGACTGGGTTGCCTGAGGGCAATAATGTGCAATGAGCTGGGTAAAAATAGCATGTTGACAGTGTAAGGGGACTGTCATCCCCAATCAAGATTACCTAGCCTGTGATATTCCCTAAACCCCAAACGCAATATCCTAGAGAGCTTTAAAATCTGTCTGTAGAGAATTATGTCAAAGTCAAAAGTTCTGTAATAGACGGCCCTAAAACACACACACACACACACACACACACACACACAGAATTCATAGTTTTGTTAGATTCTTTGGATTCTTAATGGAGTGACATTTTTCAATTTGAGTCCAAGGACGGCAGTTCACTATCTGCATTTTGGATTTTAAACTGCTTTATTTCTCTGGAGAAAATCCATTTCCCATAATCAGACTTCTAACTCACTGAATTTAAGCACACTGGCAAAAAATTTCCTCAACAAAAAACCACACATTTTCAGAGCACTCCCATAATTCCTTCTTGTGTTCAAATCAAACCGCATGACTGGACAACTTTCCTCTGGGTTCATGATCCCAAATAACGTGAACGTATTACAGTCAAAGCAATACAGTCTTTTTATTAAGAAAGCACAAATTTAAAAGTGCAGTGAAATTTTTTAAAGAAATGTGTAAAAGCAGAGAAACACAGGCCCACACAGAGACGTCGCAGCAGAGCCAGAAGCTTAAAGGTATAAATGGTAGCGCCGTCAAATCAAGCAGCATGACCTTGAAATAAATTTGTTCTGGCACTGGACCACACAGTGATTTATGACTGTTAAACCTCTTTATAAAAATA